CAGTTGTAACAGAGTTATACCTCAATATTACAGTTGCAACAGAGTTATACATCAATATTACAGTTGCAACAGAGTATATATACATCAATATTACAGTTGCAACAGAGTATATATACATCAATATTACAGTTGCAACAGAGTATATACTATATATACATCAATATTACAGTTGCAACATAGTATACATCAAAATTACAGTTGCAGCAGAGAATACATCAATATTACAGTTGCAACAGAAAATACATCAATATTTATACAGTTATATTATAATTATCAACACTTAACAAACATAATTGGTTTTCTCAAGGCAGTTATTCTCTAATAAAATAAATTTAGCTGAAATATATAAAAGGAACACACTTCAAACATTAAAATCACTGGTTGTCTCTAGCAAACTCAATCTTATTAAAACACAGATCCTAATTCGTTTCGGTTTTTTATAGTTCAAAATTTCGTTTTTTAGTGTAGGCCATCAAAAGAATAATAAAAAAAAAAGAATAAAAAAAAAAAAGCAACGAAATATAGATTTGTATTTTAATCAGATTGTTGCAAACTATAATATTGTGAAAGATGAAGCTCTAGAAGGAATATTCAATAAACATTCAATAAACAAACAAACTAAGTGTATTATGCCCATGTTAAAATAAGGATAGGTTGCCAGGCAACGAATCATACGCCCCTCACAACAGCTAATTGATGACTAATAAAATGTTCGAGTTATTGCAAATCGTTGAAAATCCACATGTTTCGAGTTATTACAGGTTTCTTTGTCTTATGGACATAAACACTGTATAAAATGTCAAATCAACTGGATAATTGATGTAACTTCAGCTACTAGCAGATGGTCCAAAAGATTTTAAAATATGATCAGGGACAATAACTCTGGCAGTAATCAACAGGATTCTTCATCTCATGAACTTATACTGTGTATAAACTTCATGTCAATCAAATGAAAACTATAGCCTCTAGAACAGTCCCAAGTAATAGTGAATGAGAAGTCGACAGATTGAGATGATAACAATATATATACAACCACAATCCAATGTTGGCATATAGATAAAAAAAAAATTAGTGGAGGGAATGAGATATTAGACATAGAAGAATATAATAAAAATACATAGACAAGTTAATTTAAAAATAGAGACTGGTACAATTAATAGAAATATATAAGCCAGGGTTTGCTGTGGTCTAATCGACCAGATTGAGAATAATTCAGTTATCTGCAACTTAAATCATATTAGTTTGACATTTGACACCATGTGATGTTAACCAAAATACATAATGTCTATATTTAGCATCAATAATTAAAACTTTCAAACACCTGAGAAAGATTAATCTTCCCGCTGATGAATTTGACATTTTCAAGAAATGGGTATTTAGGGGTATTGTCAATTTTTGGCATATTTTGTTTACTTAAAGATACATTATGTATTATTTAGATAAAGAGCTGACTGTTCTTGCTATAATAGTTCAAAAATAGATAAATTTAATTCAAATTACTCTATTGCGAGCGAATATATCAGCCTTTCAAGGTTGAACAAGATTTGTGCATTAATTGCTTCTCCATTTTTAAATTAAATCAAAATATAGCTTAACTTGTCAAATCTACTTAATATCGGAGAGATCCAATAGCATCGAGGGTTGATTATGGTTTTGTCATGTTAATAAATGTCTAAATACCGGTAATAGTTTATATAACATTTCAGGCCTAAAGAAAGACCTGTAATAGGCAGATTTAGCTCTTGAATAATGAATGTTTAAAATCAGCAAGATATATTATTCAAAGAATATGATAATTTTTAGCATTATATCTAGGTTTATATATTGTTTTTTAAAAAGTCATCTTATACAACAAAACCATGAATTTTAACTGACAGGTGAAATTCTCTGGATTTGTCATTTCTAAAGCCAATCATTCAAGAATGGTAAATATGACTAATACAAGAGCCATGGTTCTGTTTGTGTATCAGAGAAGATATTGATCTTGGGGCTCAAGGCAATTTTCAAACAATAGTAAAAAATTTTGTTCAAATTCTCATCAGAGAGAGAGAAATGGGGGTTTAATGTCCATTCGACACAAACATCATGTCGTCAAGAAAACATCATATTTAAACATGCATCATACACACTATTACAAACTATATACATATACCTTGTGTAGGGTATCTTTTTATTCATCCATGGTATCTCTAGTAGCATCCTTACATTCTATGTGGAGTAGAAGGGAAACATACCACTGGTGAAATCAAAGATGCTTTTTAATTTGATCCAATATTTTGAGCAAAGATAAGATAAGAACATGTAAGAATGTTAAACAAGTAATTTTTTCAAATGAAGTAAAAAAAAAAATGTGAGGTTGTGGAAAGTGACATATCAAAAATAGATAGGTTTTTTTTATTATATACAAATCAATGTAGGATTATTAGCTACAGAGTAGATAATCAAAAGCCTTATTCAAAAAATCTTCAACTAAAATTTAATAAGAATTCAGGCCCTTCTTTGGCCAAGAGCTAAAATTTGGGGTATTGATTTCTGAACATTAATTGAGGAGATTGTGAATCCCTTGCAAACTATAATATGGCGAAAGTTGAATATTTAAAGGAAATATCAGTCCAAAAATGGTTCAATTACATAGATTGAGTATTTACAAAGATATGATAAATTGAAAATGTTTTAAGAGGGGCTTATGTTGACCTTACAACTGAGGGCAACTGGCTTCAACTGAAAATGGGTACCTCGTACAACCCAAAGCAGCTAGTTCCAATCAGTTGAATCCACCTGCCCATGTTCAACTTTCTGCAAACTGTTTCAACTAGCAGCAACTAGGAAAAATGGAAGCTATCAAAGGCATCCACTTTTTAAGCGTCAATGATATTGACAATAACGTAATAATACAATTGTGGCAAGACAGACCATACGTTTTGGGTGCATCTTTTAAGGCATTAGTCAGTTTATTGATAAATTAATTAACAACCATGTGTAAATGTGATCGCTATCATTTCCGATTCGTCGACACAAACGCTCCTAATTCTGTTGTCCTGAGTTGCTGATTTAGTTGGCATAAGCACAATTACAACTACTGTAGTTGTAACAAAAATATGCTTCGTATATATTTGGCAATTGGCACCTACATGTGTAATTATAAATATAGACATAGTTCAAGATAACAAATTAGGAAATATTTACACCCTGTATATAAATATACAATAATATAAAATAGATTTAAAATAAATTACATGATTTAAACTTACATGTAATATAAATGAAATGAAATGAAATGGGGTTTAACGTCCTACTGTTCTGCTCCTAACCTGGGCTAATGAAGACGGGCATACACCATACAGTGTGCTATGAGGGAAATTTTGCCCAGGCAGCGGCACTACAGCCTACTCTTATATCGAATTCCAACTGCCAAGGTACATGTAATATAAAGTTTTGGAACTCATACACTCTTTCTCAATAAATCACCATTTCATGATATATTCTGGTAAATCCAAGCATCTTTGCAACAAATGTAAGCATCATGCTGGTGGTATGTTTTACCATGAAGATAACAGAAGTTTTTCCCCTTTAAAATTTGAGAGAGAGAGAGAGAGAAATGGGGTTTAACGTCCACTCGACACAAACTAGGTCATTTCGGGACTAACATATGGTTTAATTTTATTTCAATAATTCGTTTGCGCGTAGGGGTCTTTAGCAGTGGGAGGACCCGGAGAAAACCCATGAGGTTGGACAGGCGACCCTACTCCTTGTCACGTATAACCGGGGATTCAAAACCACACCAGTTGACTCAATGACAGGCTTTATGATAACCATTCGGCCATTCAACCCCCCCTTTAAAATTTAGGAATGAATAATCCTTGTATGATCAAGTCTACGTCCCATTAAAATTTAAGGCTGTATATAATCCTCCTGAGATAAGGCCTAATTATGGGCAAATCACTAAATCTACGAGGATGGAATAGTTTGAGGAAATGATATATATTTTCTTGACTGCTTTAGAATTACTTGAAATCTTTTACATATATGGACTCTTTTGTAGGATAATGGATAAAGACTAGGGTATCTTTATCAATAAGCTAAAAGTGAAACTATTCTACATGTCTATTGTATAGAGCAGTGATTCTCAACCAGAATTTTGAACGGCAAGGGTAAAAAACCCTGTGACCCAAAATGAGTATTCACTGGTGTCTACTGATAATTTCATAGCTGTGTTTTTGTTTATTTAGTTTGAGTCATTATATGTATCCATGACTAGTCAGTGTCTACGGTTGTATGCCGTCTATGACTTGTCATGTTTTTATTTTGCAAAACTGAAATATTTTTCATATACATTTAGCCAGGTGTGCCGCTATGTTTTCATGTGTTCCAAGGTGCACCGCTAGTTTTTCATGTATTCCAAGGTGTGCCGTTACCCAAAAAGAGTTGAGAACCACTGGTATAAGAGTAAAACATTTAACATCACAAAATAAATCTGTACAAAATTTGAACATCCATTTTAAATTGCTGAACAGGGCCCTGATTCACGAAAACTTAAACTAAGATAAAATCGAAATTTTAAGAAATGCTGCAACTTCATTGGATATATGCAAATTGATTTTACTGGTCAGCCAATCGAATTGCAGTATTTCTTAAAATTTCGATTTTATCTTAGTTTAAGTTTTCGTGAATAAGGGCCCAGTATATAATACATCTTAAGGTCATGAAAAAAAAACCTATTCTGGTTCGCTGATATTCCCAATAATAAATGATACTGGATAATCATATATTCCTATAAACAGTTTGATGAAATAAATGATACTGGCTAATCATACATTTGTATAAACAGTTTGATGAAATAAATAATACTGGATAATCATACATTCCTATAAACAGTTTGATGAAATAAAGGATACTGGATAATCATATATTCCTATAAACAGTTTGATGAAATAAATGATACTGGATAATCATATATTCCTATAAACAATTTGGTGAAATAAATGTAGTGCTCTGACTGTCAGAGAACCAGTAAATTTTTGGTTGGCCTAAATAATTTATTATAAATAAAATATTTGTTTTCATCTGCTGCCAATTTTATAGTCTGTCTTGTTTTACGACACCATTTCGTTTTCGGTGCACCAGATGCTTTTTGTCAAAATTCAAACAGCCATTGGCTCTCTTGAGCTCTCCCTGAGATGGAATACTATTAATATATTCACTGTTTAATGTCTTCTGAGATTTGACTCCATTTAAACCATTTGTAGTTACCTCCCCTTCAGATTTATTTCTAGGTGTTCTTTTCTTTCTGTTCTTTCCAGAATATTTTTTGAAAGCAAACTGCATTATGTTTACCCAGAAAATAACGCCCAGCGAATATATACAAACAGCACCGAATCTACCGAGGTTGTCAGTCGGTTGTGTGAAATAGCAGTACAACAAAATAGTTCCGACGCCTAGACGCATGAATCCGAAGGAACAGACAAACATCCAATCAACAACTTCAGCAGCTAAACTATTTTTATGACCCGTTTCCCGTAGAAACCATCGTAACTGCAATAGAGGGTTAGTTATCTCCCCTCCACATATGGTTGCTACGAGTTCTGTGCCATATTTTCCGACTAGTAACGTGACTAAGAGTCCTATAATACTGAGAAAATGGTGCAGCAGCATTGTAAATCCTACAAAAAAAAAATCATAATATTATCAAATTTAAATGAAACATTTTGGAGATTAAAACAGTTAATTTAGCCTGGATACAATTTGAGACTAGAAGAGTGAATTTTTTCTCTATTATCATGTATGCACGGCTAGGGATGTGCATTTAACCTGGACGGCACCATATTGCCACTGCAGTCACGATACGATACATACATGTATAGCAATTCAGGTACTACGTTACGATTCGTATCACGATTCATAATCAGGTCAGCGAAGTATTATGGTTATCCAGCTCTTCCTTGGCCTTATCACTGAGATCCAGGATTACTTGCACAGGATTCTTCCACAACTACCACTTATACAAAAAATTACAAGATCTTAGCTAACATTCCGTATTCCACTGGATGGCCGAATGGTTAGCATGTACGCGCTGTATCACAAGGTCTGTCATTGAGTCAACTGGCGTGGTTTCGATTCCCCAGTTGTACGTAACAAGGAGTATGGTTGCCTGTCCAAACTTGTGGGTTTTCTTCGGGTCCTCTCACTGCTAAAGACCCCAACGCGCAGGAAAGTTATTGAAATAAAATTGAACCATACATTAGTCCTGAAATGACCTAGTGGTCGTTAAACCCCATTTCTCTCTCTCCCTCTAGAGCTGGCACGATATATCGTAATCCACCTTATCACGATTCATGTATTGAATCATGGGACTGTGAATCACAATTCTGTTTTATGTTCTTTTTGTCGCTTCGGTAAGTAACCTGTCACTCTTAATTATCCATGTCACACATTATCACTAGATACACAAACACTCATAAATTGTTTTGGTCCTTATTCTGATATTGAATCAATACTGTGATATTTCTTCAATATCAGCAGGAATAAAAATATCAATTATTCATTTACCCTGTTGTTTTCTTGGTAAATATTGACCTGATTATGAATTGTGATGTAAGGTTAGGGCATGTGATTGTTGGCGCAATTGAAGGTTAGGGTTAGGGTAAGCTTTGGGGCTAGGTCCAGAGTTAAGATTAGCGCTAGCCCTGTTTACATCTCATGACCTATGACGAAAAATTGAGCTAGCCTTATCATTTAGCACTAACCGGGTTTTAGTATAATTAAATGGTTTACCTTCTGTCTGATAATATAAACACCATGAAAAATCAAAGATAAAATAACTTAAACATATCGTGGCTGTTACAATCTGTAAACGTGTGTTAGGTCCCCCTGAAATAAAGACAAGATAAAATAACTTAAAGATATCGTGGCTGTTACAATCTGTAAATGTGTGTTAGGTCCCCCTGAAATACAGACAAGATAAAATAACTTAAACATGGTATTATGCGAGAGCTAAATCTGCCTATTGCAGGTCTTTCTTTAGGCCTGAAATGTTGTCAAAATTATTAATTAGACATTAATTAACCTATCCAGACCATAATCAACTCTAGATGGCATCGCTAGCCTGCGATCTTTAGTGGATTATGAGCTGATTTACTGCATAACTTTCCTTCACGATTTAACGATTAAATGGATAATAGAGACTATGCTGTTTATCGTACTGACTTTAGTAATGATGATCAAGGCTAGCCGGAAATTTCAACCGCTTAGTTCTTGGTTCATAGTGGATTAATTTGAATGACATTTTCAGCAAATTGCCTTTACATATCTAGTTTTTAACTATTAATAATATAGTGAGAACTGCCAACTCAATAACAAATCTCCCATAATGTATGTTTAAGCAAATTGTAGCTGTTACAATCTGTAAACGTATGTTAGGTTCCCTTGAAATACAAATGAAATGAAATGAAATGGGGTTTAACGTCCTACTGTTCTGCTCCTATACTGGGCTAATGAAGACGGGCATACGCCATACAGTGTGCTATGAGGGAAATTTTGCCCGGGCAGCGGCACTATCGCCTACTCTTATATCGAATTCCAACTGCCAAGGGATCTTTTACGTGCATTCCAATGTTTACACGGGACCTCGGTTTTCCATGTCATCCGAAGGACTAGACAGCTGTCCTTGTCAGGCCCTCCGTCCTGCATAACTGACAAGGGGAAACCACATCGGAAAATCGGGATGAACTCCCTTGAAATACAAACAAAGGAAATTTAATCATAGCTTTGCATAGAATAAAGAAATCTGACTGAAATTTTCAATATATTCATTTTCCATTAGGTTCAAACCTGTCTGAGTTGGCTTCACGGTCATTAAAAGCCCTCTGATACATGTAGGCCATTGTGGGTCCGAGTTTTAATTACTAACCTGCATCTGTAAGCGGCCATGGTCCCTGAATAAAACAACACCAGCCTGCCATAAAACTAATGACTACTGCATGACTGACTGTAATTGTCCGACACTGCCATTCAGCTCCTCGTGTTGGAAACAGATAAAACAACAAATAGTAGACAGCTACCCATGCCAATAAACAGGTACAGAACAGAGATAAATCTAAATCTCCTATCTTAAACATCTTAAAACTGAAATAAATGAAATGAAATGGGGTTTAACATATCCTAATAACTGAAATAAATAATATAACTTATATTTTATATGTATATTAGATGATTAAAAATATGATATCTTGGGGAATTTGTGGTGTTCAAGGTAGTGGAGTGAGATGTATCAAAAGGACCATACAGAGATTAGCAAGAGCTGAAGAAAGGAATGAAATGGGGTTTAACGTCCTACTTTTTTACATCAGGGTAATGAAGAAGCCAGCATACATGTATGTTATACAGTGTGGTATGAGGGATAATTAAAAATTAATCGTGAGAGAGAAAGAATAGAGTTTAACATCCACTCAACCTAAACTAGGTTATTTTGGTTAATATGGTACAAATTTTATTTAAAATTTTGCTTATGCATACAGAAATGAAATGGGGTTTATCGTCTTACTGTTCTGCTCCGACTGGGCTAATGAAGACAGTGCTTGCACATACATTGTAGGACTTAATAGCAGGGAGGGGAAGCCCTATACTTTTCTACAACAGCCCAGGTAATGGAAAAGCATAAACTATGCAGAGTGTGCTATGAGGGATAATTCACCTTAGAGAGAGAGAGGTTAGAGTGTAACATTCACTCGACTTTAATTAGCTATAGGTACTAATTTGGTACAATTTTATTTAAAAAATTTGCTTGCACATTGAGGTCTTTACAGGTAAAGAAGCCGGAGGACAAGGAAAAATCCCCAGAAGGTTGGGCAGACGGAACCCAGTCTTGTCAAAATCTCACATACAAGGTTAATGAGACTGAAATCATGACACTTGACTCAATGGTGTGTTAATGACAAGAGATTATGAGCTTGTCAGTTTTGTTTTGCGTGTAGTGCGGTTCTCCTGCACAGCGTTGGACCATTCGACCCCCTTAATTTAACCGGACATATATATCCAGTCCATCTATTTCACATAAGTTTTATTGTTGTTCAATGGTGGCTCATTAAATTAAATAAGTCAATGCATGTGCAATATACCTCTCTGCACCTTGGACTTCCGACTTGTAATTAATACTAATTACATGTACCTTGTTGCACCCCATCCTCCGGCATGTAGCTCGTATTTAAAGTAAGTAAGCTAAGAAAATGCAAACCTACTATTTGTAGCACTGTTGGGGATACAGCAATCGAATCGTCAGTAGAATTATAGGCAAAGTCAAGTGAATACATGTAGCCTTCGTCAGTTGTGTCTGAAAATTGTCTGCGTCGGCCCAGCCCCAGGTTGAAATGCTTTTTGGAAAATGGAGTGGTCCAAAGTACAATTTTCAAAAATATTATCTACAACGTACACTTACCTAACTATCTAACCATGGTGACCAGACGTAATTATCAATCGCGCGATTGCCTATCAATTTAATTGCACTAATGGGCAATCAAATCTCAAAGTCGATGAATTAAGATAAGTTCCGTGGAGGCTGACATTTTCTCAGGAGAGCAGATATTTTCTTCTCTTGTTTTTCATTGGTTAATAAATCAAGGAGGTAAAATTTGAGTCATTGATTTCTTATTTAAAATATCAACTGGTTAGGAAAAGAAAATATGCATGATAATACTAACTTATTTGTCTAACTTATGATCGTATTTCCAATGTTTCCATATTATTTTTAATGATTTCTGCGGAAAACTGCTTTATGACGTCACAGATAAACAAGTCATCGCCCTGGTAACAATGTCAATATTTTATGATTTGGGTAAGTGTTATCGTTTGTTTTCCTAGTGATTTATCGCCTTAAGTGCATTCTGATTGGATTATTTAATAGAAAAGGTTAACCAATAGAATAAGCAACGCCCATTTTATTGAATTAACCTAGCTTGCTTTTCATATTTCATTGATTTCTCAAAGTTTTTTTTTTTATCTCTAACTCTAATTTCTCCCTAGAATAAAATTCTACTTTTAACTTTTTTCGGGTCTTATCTGATCTAGGCTAGATCTAATTAAATTTAAAAAATAATAAGAAAAAAAATTATTCCACTAGGAGGACTAGGTCTAGAGTGAAATATTTCCACAAACACGAGAGGTCGCTGCACTTGTCTCTTCGAGCTTTTTAATTTTTACACACAGGCTAAAGTCAAGAATAACCGATAGGCCTACTAAAACACGTGACGTGACGTTTTCAGCCGCTAATTAATACACCACGAAGGCCTAGTTTCTACAGGCCAGTTCACACGTGTAGGACACCTCGACGAACTAGTCTAAACGTACGGCTACATTTCCTAAACCCAGTGACGTGCATAGGGAATTGAAAGTTTTTACTGGAGCAACCCTACTAGTCTAGTTAGTGTAGTAGGGCCTAGCTTTGGAAATCTTTTCAGTTGACGTTGGCAACAATCTAGTATGAGTATGACATGAGTACTATGAGGTCAATTAGGTCAACCCAGTGCCATCAATGGCCTTTGGTTGGAGCTTTATTCATAGGGTTTTAATGCATAGAATAATTTTCATCATACGGTCATAATTTTGAGTTAACTAGTTGGGTTTATTTTCTCCACCTCTTTTCTGTTGAGTGTGGGTAAAGCATTATGATGATATCACGTGGTCACAGCCTTTTTTGGCAGAGCATAAGTTCATGTAGGCTAGCTAGTCTTAATTAATCATGTTAATGAAATGAAATTGGCTTCAACGTCTTACTTAACTGCACCAACTAGGCTACCGGTAGGCCAAATGAAGCTGGACGTATGTGCTGTGCAGTATCTCAGTATATATGTGCTATGTGATCAGGGATCGAGGTCCAAATAATGTCAAGGGTTGTTTTACACGCATGCCATAGCATAGATAGTGTTGGGCCTACATGGGACTGTTTTTTCTTTATTCCATCCGAATGACTAGCACTCTTGCCAGTTCCTCCGCACTGCGCCACTGATAATCACGTGACCGGGATGGAATCCCGGGCCTCCTGGTTTGTGAGAAACAGTGCCTTAAGCACAGAGGCACCCCGACTCCCAGAAAAAGAAACAAAGATGTCCCAACTATAAGATGACTATGTTAATTTTAATAATAAGCTTTCACATGAACCGTTGCTTTTTTCTTGTATTCACAGAGCATTCCATAACAAGAATACAGTATTAGATATTGTGTCGCCATGGCTACCAGACAGAAGACGATCGACAAGGCCTACTGGAAGCACAGACTACCCCAAGGCTTCCAATATTATATGGAGAAATTAGCTAGAACCTGTATTCGTGTTCAGCCAGCAGATGTTTATCTTTTTGCCGCCCAATTTCTAGAAGCAAAGAAAATAGAGAGACAAGGTGAATAATTTGAAAAATAAAACAAAACAAAACCCAACGGTAAAACGAAAATGGTAAAATGTGTGGCAACTGTCGAGTTGGCGACAAGTAAGACGCAGAAAAACGATAACCACTGTAGGAAATTGTAGTTAATCAAAGCGAACTGCCAAACAAACCACGACGAATTGTTAAATTGTTTCAATGCCAAGCCAACTGTGAACTGGAAATATAAGCTTAAATGATACAACTTTATGGAATAAAATTACTGTTCATCATACTGAGCGATGCTTCGACATGGCTTGATAAAGACTATAGAAGCCTGGTGGAAAATTCGCTCAGTAATAAACTGTAATTGTTTTTCATTGAACTGTGTCCTGTGTAATTGACCAAGTCCAGAGAAGTATTTTATTATTGTCGAAACTTCGCTCAGTCATGGAATCATGCCCCGATGGAGCGGAGAATTATTTCCTGCTAAATTTCCCCAAACATATTAGCACGGTGCCAAGATGATTTTGTCTTTTAATGCTTTTTTATACGTCCCATTTCATTTCATTTCACTCTTCATTACATTCGTTGATGCAAAAAAATGGAGTTGTGTCCCTTGACCTATTGTAACACCGATACCGCCGTTCATTTCCATGGAAATGAAATGAAATGGGGTTTAACTTCCTACTGTTCTGCCTCGAACTGTGCTAATGTTCTGCCCCGAACTGTGCTAATGAAGACGGACATACGCAATACAGTGTGCTATGAGGGAAATTTTGCCCGGATAGCGGCACTACGTCCAATTAACTGTCAAGGGATCTTTTACGTGCACGGGACGTCGGTTTTTCGTCCCATCCGAACGACTAGACAGCTGTCCTTGTCAGGCCCTTCGTCCTGCATCACTGACAAGGGGGAACCACGCCGGAAAATCTGGATGAACTTTCTCGGCCAATGCAGGGATCGAACATCCGACGTCCAGGCTAGCGAGCCAGCGTCTTACCCACTTAGCCACCGCGACCCCCTCATTTCCACGGTGGCTTATTAACTAAGGTGCTGGCTTTGTTGCCCGAGAAAGTTCCTCGGAATTTTCGGATGTGGTTAATCATTGTCCGTAGTGTAGGTTGGAGGGTCTGGCAAGACCCCGTGTACAACTCCATCACAGCACTCTGCATGTCTTATTAGCCAGTTTGGAGCAGAAAAGTAGAGTCTTGTTAGTGAAGGACAGAAAACACAGACGACACACACACACCCTTTATCTTTTTGGGGGCAACGAAGCCCCAAAAACTTCGTTTGGTTTGGTACAGTGCTGGTACTTTGTTGACTAAATAAAATATCAAAATTATCCGTAGATTATTAAAACTGTTGTTAAACTATGTCACAGACACTAGTTAATTATTCACCGTCCGACATTCATATAATTGTTTTAAGTCACCATCGTTGCTGTTATCGTAAATGTATCTATAGTATTAACTATTTTTCATCGGCGATATTGTAGCACGACATCCTTGATTTGTACGAATTTTTACCCTTCCTAATAAAAAGATTCACCTAATCACCTAGATGCTACTTTTTCTATATCCCACTCGAACATTTTCTTTTCATTCAAAACGGCATCACATTATCATCTACCGCCCCTACATTCACCCACCAGAGCAGCTTTTCATAAACGGCATTTACCTATGCTAAAAGTGATCAAAAAACCTTAGACCTTTTCCGCTTCGTGCACGAATCACGATCCTGGTAATTCCCCAAATTATAATAATAAACAGCATATTCATCAGACGACTGTAAGCGGCCATTTCCATTTGAAGATGACTGTAAGCGGCCATTTTGTTCTTCTTTTAGCGTTGCGTTTGGCGCCAATTTATTTCTCGTGGAAATCAACACAATTTCTCGCACTTTCAATCCAGTTTGACCGAAAAAAATAGACTTATTGACTATGAACCATGTCTACACAGCAATCTCAGCCTCGCCGATTGAATGTTATTTTGATTTCGAGGGTCGTGTACACGAGACTGAATTACTGCAAACACACGTGTTTTGTTTTTTAAAAATAATTTTGCGACCGCCACTCAGAGACGATGCTCTGTCAATGAAAAGTTGTCCTTTGAATTTTTATTTACCTGTATCTGTAAGCTAATATTTTTAGGTTTTGTTTTTCAATTTTCAGACGAATTATTACAATTGCCAGAAGTGACTTATTTGCGTAAGTTGGTCGCCAAAAAGGGCGTGAAATCACGTTCACATCAACATATGGGTAAACGTCAAGCTTTCAGTAAGTTCTATTTTCATTTTTTTTACACAAGTGATTTAGATTTCAGGTGAATGCCCATTGACCTAACCTCGTGGGTTTTCTCCGGGTCCTCCGGTTTCCTTCCAATGCTAAAGACCCTACGCGCAAGCGGATTATTGAAATAACCATGTGTTAGTCCCGAAATAACCAAGTTTGTGTCGAGTGGACATTAAACCTCTCTCTCTCTCTCTCTCTCTCTCTCTCTCTCTCCCATTGACCCTTTTCGACATTTGCACGGTCTATACTGTTCGTTGGTTACTCGGATGGTGACCACTGTATCGAGATCACACCCTTGAAGGACAATATTGCTGTCAGTCATTATCACATATGTGATAGAACTGACCCCGAGTTCACAAAGCATTCTCAGACTTAAGTTAAGAATTTACTCAAAATTGTTTGCCTTATTTTAACTAAAAAATATTCTGGATCAAAGATATTTCTCATAAACAGTGATTGAAAGTTGAGTAAATTCTCAATTTAAGTCTGAGAATGCTTTGTGAACTTGGGGCCAGGTTAAACACGTTCCATATATGATTTTAACACAGAGATCATCGATTGCTACGATTGATGCGTTATAAAGATTTCAAGAAAGGGAAGTGACGAACGCAAAAGGAAAACACGAGTTATCCTTCTATATAACTGACTGGGGTGACGACTGACGAGTGATAACAGATACACGGGCGAATTTCTGCTCACTAATAATACCTTCGAAGACCAAAAGTTGCTATATGAGACTGTGGGAGGATATCTAATAATTCATAAAAAAAATTGACTGTCAATAGATAAGTGAAAACGAGAAAAATATAGAAATAGTCCGTGCATTCCCTGGTTTTTATTCATTCTATACTTAATTTCAGTTATATATCAGAATAAGTCGTGTTTTCCGTTTGCGTTCGTCACTTCCCTTTTTCGAAATCTTCATAACGCATCTATCGCAGCAATGATCTCAGTGTTAAAATTATATCTGGAACGTGTTTAACCAGTTCTATTACATATATGTGATAATGACTGACACCAATATTATTGTCCTTTAACTTTCAAAAAGTGATTTAGATTTCAGGCGAATGCATAGTGCCCCGTGTATACTTTATAAGGGTATTTACGGGTTACTCAGCTGATGACCACTGCCCTGAGAGATCCCACCCTTAAATTTCAAGTGATTTAGAGTTTGGCGAATACAAATTTGTCCTGGTCTCGGTTTCCCGTGTAAGCTTGTTCTTTATAAGGATACTGGGTATTCACTGTTACTCGGCTATTGACCATTGTGCCGAGGTGAGGTTACGTGTTTAAAAAAAATATCTGAAGTCTCCGTCTGAATTGTTGATGAGTGTCGTACACCAAATGAAATGTTTTCTTGTACTTCCTCACCTCTTAAATTTTTTTACACGGAGCCACGGTGATCTGTGGTTTTTCAGCATTGTTTCGTCTTCGTCCGAATTGTTGATAGGTGTCGTACACCAAATAAAATGGTTTCTTATACTTCCTCACCTCTTAAAAAAATTACATGGGTCCACGGTGGTCGGTGGTTTTTCAGCATCGTTTCGTCTTGTCAGTAGTGCTGCGGTGCCCCAGTGAGTAAGCCGCTGACTCACTAACCAGGAGGTAGCGGATACCATCTTGGTGTTGGTGTTTTAGCTTGCATTCTCTTTGTCCGTGGTACATGGCGGATAGTCTGGCAAGGAAGAGTGTCTAATCGATCGGATGGTACGAAAATCGCTTGTTGGCGTGCACGTTAAAGAAACCCCGACAGTTGGAAATCGTTCAAGAGTAGGCGACATTCCCTCATGGGCACATTGATTCAGACCCCATTTCAAGTTACAAAATTACACAAAATATATTCGGGGCTGTCGACGATGATGACAATAGAAAATTCCCCTTGAAGTTCCATAAATTATTATTAAACAGTATTTAAGTACGCGTATAATTACTGTTTCAATGTGACCCCACCCTTAGAGAGTTGATTTAGTAGGTATGTTTTGACCAAACCTATTTATACTATTATTACCGACCTTGAGTTGACGGAAACCATGTATTATTACCACGTGTATATATAGGGTATGGTATATATTATATATTGTTATACTTGGCTGTTACACAAACACCTGTATTTAATATTCACCATTCATTATTAAATATATATCCCATTATTCCATTTAATACACCCTGTAGTTTTGCTATTGTAGTAAATGTGAAATATTAACACATTTTTTAAAACTTCTGTTGCCCATAAGACACGAGAACAGCAACGTCACAAATGAAGTTGCATCACAGATATAATGCGACTTTGCAACAAAAAGTCCAAACCGAGACAAGTAAATTGGCATCATCATTGTTATAACGTAATTACGTCATAATTATTAAAATCACGTCACAATCGTCGATATCAGGGTCCTTTGGCATCGGTACGAAAACGAAAACCAAAACGAACATGTTCGTTTACGTTGTCGTTTTCGTATCCTATCTAACACGCGGTTTCGCAATCCGACGTACGATAATAACTAGATGGCGTTAATTTCCACTCCATGAACTTCTCGGTCAAGGCAAAGTTTTCAATCGATTTTTTGGTAGATGTACAACAAATCAAGCAGAATATTGCTTTTCAGCACATTCTACGAACTCTACAAAATCAACAATATACACAAGGCCTCGAAAAATGGTGGAAAATTCAATATATGAGACAAGAAACATATTCGTTTGCATACCTACGTAAATCCAGCTCCATACGCGTAACGTTTTTCACTGGCCGAACATTCATTACGGATTGACGTCACAAGTACACACGAATCGATGACGTTTTCGTTTTCGTACCGATGCGAAAGGTCCCTATTAAAATAACGTTACAGCATGTAAAACATCGTCATTCGTAAAACCTCGTAACAGTTAAACTTATATCGTTAGTAAAATTCCGTCTCGGGTAAAATATCTTCATTGATAAAGTGATAGCGCAAATAATATATCCTTATTAGTAAAAACACGTCACTATTAAAACATGATTGATATGATCACGTCACAAATAAATTGACACCATTGATAAAATCATGTCACTCAATAAAGTTCGTCGTTAGTTAAACCACGTCACAAATGAAATATCGTCATAAATAAAATCATATTATAAAAAAAAATTAAAACATTAAATAATAAAACATAGTCATTAGTAAAATCAGTAAACATTGTCATTAATAAAATCACGTCTACAAGTAATATATCGTCACTAGTAAAATCATAAGTATCATAGGGATAATAATAAAATCACGTCACAAGTAAAATATCATCATTAATTGAAATAACTTAATAAAATCACGTCACAAGTAAAATATCATCATTAAGTGAAATAACTTAATAAAATCACGTCACAAGTAAAATATCATCATCGATGTCAACGCTAGCCTGTTGGATTATGATCCGATTTGCTGCATAACTTTCCTTCTCGATTTAACGATTAAATGGATAATCAAGACTATGATTTTTGTCGTACCGACTTTAGTAATGATGACCGAGGCTATGCGGAACTTTTGATCGCTTATTTCTGGGTTCATAGTGGATCAATTTGACTTAAATTTTCAGCAAATTGCCTTTACATTATCTAGTTTTTAACTATTATAGTGCGAACTGCCAACTCGTTATCTAATCTCCCACAATGTGTCTTTAAGTAAAATAACTTTTAAATCACGTCACAGGTAAATATATAGACCATTTACCTTGTCTGAAAACATTGTGATAAACTGTGTGAAATATGGGATCGCCATCGTCATCCGGCACAAGTAAATGTTCGTAAACGTTGTATTAGTAGAGAGTCACAAGTAAAGGTTCGTCACGATACAAATCCGCCACAAGTAAAGGTTCGTCCTAATACAAAAACGCCACAAGTACAGGATCGGCACAATACAAAACCGTCACAAGTACAGGTTCGTCACATTACAATACTGCAACAAATAAAATATCGTCACAATACAAAAATGTCATAAAATATTGTTTTGTGACAAATAAAAGATTTTAATATGACAACTATACAAAACCCTCACAAGTAAAAGATCGTACCAATACAAACCGTTACAAGTAAACGATCATCACAATACAAAACCACCACGAGTAAAGATGGTCCCAATACTAAACCGTCACAAGTAAAAGATCGTCACAATACAAACCGTCACAGGTAAAAGATCGTCACAATACAAAACCGCCACAAGTTAAAGATCGTCACAATACAAAACTGTCACAAGTAAAAGATCGTCACAATACAAAACTGTCACAAGTAAAATATCGTCACAATACAAACCGTCACAAGTAAACAATCGTCATAATACAAACCGTCACAAGTAAAATCGTCACAATACAAACCGTCACGAGTAAAAGATCGTCACAATACAAAACTGTCACAAGTAAAATATCGTCACAATACAAAACTGCCACAAGTAAAATATCGTCACAATGCAAACCGTCAAAAGTAAAAGATCGTCACAATACAAACCGTCACAAGTAAACGGTCGTCACAATACAAAACTGTCACAAGTAAAATATCGTCACAATACAAACCGCCACAAGTTAAAGATCGTCACAATACAATACCGCCACAAGTTAAAGATCGTCACAATACAAAACTGTCACAAGTAAAATATCGTCACAATACAAAACTGTCACAAGGAAAATATCGTCACAATGCAAACCGTCACAAGTAAAAGATCGTCACAATACAAACCGTCACAAGTAAAAGATCGTCACAATACAAACCGTCACAAGTAAAAGATCGTCACGATACAAACCGTCACAAGTAAAATATCGTCACAATGCAAACCGTCAAAAGTAAAAGATCGTCACAATACAAAAGCGTCACGAGTAAAAGATCGTCACAATACAAACCGTCACAAAATAAAACTGTTACCGTAAACAATCGTCACAGGAAGTGTCGCCATAATATAAAACTGTCATAAATTAAGAATGTCAAAAACAGTCACAGAAAATATCGTCAGAATATAAAACTGTCA